CCCCCCCCTCTCTCTCTCTCTCTCTCTCTCTCTCACCCTTCCTCACACACACACACACACACATACGCACACACGCACGGTCATTTACGAACGCACCATCACATAATATTATGCCTTCAAGCACGTTGGCAGACGAGGTTGTTTTTGCTTCAAAATTAAATTTTTGGTAGGTAGTCGTTTCTGTTTCGAAGCGTTGCTGCTGTTTACAGATATTGTGAGTGTATATTATTCATTTTATTGGGGGCGGGAAAAAAAAGGTGTTGCTATCATGTGTGTAGCAATGACTTTGTGTCTAATGGAAAAAAGTGTATTTTTAATCAGCGTTTTAACTGATGTTAACTTTGCTGCTTATTGTGGCCCTATATGTTTTACATTGTAGTAACGAATTTTTCCCTTTTATTTTCTTTCCAGCTGGATGCGAAAAAGAGTCCGCTGGCTTTGTTGGCCCAGACTTGCAGTGCCATTGGCAAAGACACATCCCCCTCCAAACCGATCATTCCTCCCCTGGAGAAGAAAGAGAACAACAACGACAAGCCTTTGGATAAGTCACTAGGAGAGCCAGAGAACACGAAACGCCCCAGTTCCCATGGCAACAGCAAAGACTCTGGTCGAGACTCAAAGCCGGGCTTCAGGACTTTCCCTCCCAAGGAAATCCCGCCCCTCGTGCCAATCTCTGGCTCCGCGGGCAGCGATAAGCCCATGAGTCTGTCAGGGGCGGAGCCTAAGTCTTCGTCTCCCTCTGGACCTGTTGGAGCCAGCGTCCCTCCGTCCTCCTGTCCGCCATCTTCCTCAAGACCCGTGTCAGCCGGGGGTCATGTGATTCCCAACCAGAGATCAAGCTCGAGAAGTAGCACGGGCAAAGGCGAGGGCTCCTCCTCTTCCTCCTCCTCCGAGTCTCACCCCCACCACCAGCACAGCAGTAACCACGCCCACCACAGACATCGTGATTCGCCAGCCTCCTCCTCCGGCTCCTCCTCCTCCCACCCGAGCGCCCCGTCCCCATCCTACTCCAAACCGTCGAGCTCGGGCAGCACACCTGTGATGCATAACTCTTTATCCTCATCATCCTCCTCCTCCTCCTCATCCCTCACCCACAGCAGCAGCACAGTCAAACCTTCAGCCACCCACCCGTCTGTACTAGGAGGTCTTCCCACCCCTGCCCACCTCGGTGGCTACCCGAATCCCCTCGCCCTCATGGGCCACGGACTTGACCCAAGCTCATCCAGCTATCACAGCGCGCTCGCTGCCGCCCATTCCAGTTTATCCAGCTTCTCCGTTTGCGCAGCAGCTCAATCGTCCGCCTTGAAAGCCGCAGCTGCTGCCGGATCTCCCTCCGCGCTGTCCCCCTTCGTCACATACGCCCGCGTCCGCACGCCGTCCGGAGCGACGACGCTGGTGCCCGTGTGTAGAGACCCTTACTGCAACAACTGCCAACTCACTGTACAAAACTCCCACCTCTCCTCCAACTGCAACGCTCCCGGTTGCGCCCAGTGCGCGCACGAGAAGTCCCTCACCAGCTTATCCACCCTAGGACTAGCCGGAGCTCCCAGCGCGGCGGCGGCGGCGGCGGCAGCCTCCTCCATGCTCCTCCCTCCCTTCTCCTCCTCCACCTCCCTCTCCTCCAGCATGTCCGCCCTCTCCTCCCTCCACTCCCTCTACCCTCACAGCGCGCTGGTCGCGGCCCACCAAGGACTTCCATACGTATGCAATTGGATCGCCGGCAACGACTACTGTGGCAAACGGTTCTCCTCCTCAGAAGAGCTGCTCCAACATTTGAGGACACACACCTCCTCTATGGACGTTTCCAATCTGGCCGCGTCCTACGCTGGTCTCGGACTCCCATCAGCCCTTGCGGCATACCCCCACCTGGCGGCCCCCGCCCCCCTCAGCCCCAACTCCCTGAGGAGAAGTTACCCCACCAGCCTCAGTCCTGTCAGCTCTCTCCTAGGCGCGAGCCGCTACCACCCGTACAAGTCCCCTCTGTCCGGTGTTGGAGCCACGCCCCCCGCCCCTCAGAGCTTCCCCCCTGTAGGTCCCTACTATTCTCCCTACGCCATCTACGGACAGAGAATAGGGGCGGCTGTTGTGCCATGACGTCACTGACTGAGAGAAGACTTTATTGACAGTTGTGTGTTGCTTCTACGATTGTGATCATAATATTATAATTTACTTTCGGAGTTCTGAAAATTGTTTTGAAAACTTGGGGTTGTCTGCAGTCGAAGTATTTATGTTTATCATAATTTTGATGTCGTATTTTTTTCCTTTGTCTCAAAGGACCTTATAAGGTACATATTTCGCAAGTCAACTTCAAATTTTTACATTTCCTACCACTTTCCGATATTTGAGAAATGTTGATAAAATAACGTTTACGACAAAGTTGACCAAGTGGTCAATCATAAAAGAAAAAATGGTTAAAGAAATAGAACACTTTTTGTCTTAATTTTAAGGTCACAAATGGAAAAGGTGGATGATGTAATTATTACTAATTAATATCTTATGATGTCGAGTCCCAACTTTTCTAGTATTCCAAAGATGGAACTCAATCCATGCAATGGGCTAACCATTGCATTTTATGGTTCCTCTTTCTTATGCATTTGACTGTCTTTCATTTGAAAATTCACTTTTCTTGTCTTGATATTTGTGTTTCTGTGTTTTATTTTAACTTTTAAAAATCAACATTTTGTATGAGTATTTCACGGTTTTTTTTTGGGTGTACGGGGGTGGGGGCCTCGGGGTGG